TTGCTTCTTCCATTGCCTGCTTGCTATTGGGGTTATAACAGCGAGACAAATTGGCTGTCAACCTTGCTTGGAATGGTCTTAGTTGGTATAGTGTATCTGTCTAAGCAGAGTCGCAAGCTGGCATCTAAGAGTTATCACTCAGATGTAAATATTACATTTTAGGCAACACCTTTGCAATTTCAGGGATGACAAATGGTGGATGCTCCTGGCAATTATCGAAAGAGTTCCCTTTTATTGAACCAAAAATGTTTGTATAGCCTTACTTGACCAGAAAATAAAAGAAACAATTGTGTAAAAGCCAGCCATTGCACAACCTGTGGTGCGACCTTACTCATCAATGCAATCAAAGTAAATGTAATCACGTTTCCTGAAATTCACCAAAAAAAGCTGTTTCTGAGCTTTTTATGTGTAAACAATTAGTGCCATTGTTCAATCATGAGGAAAGTGTGAGATGAAAGTAGAAAACCATCCTTTGATCTCATTCTGAAATTCAGAGTAAAACCAATTTGAGAGAGCTATTTTGTCGTCACTTGTTTGGTCTGGAACGGCATCAATTGCTGAGAAACTTCTGATTTCTGGCTATGGATGTTGATGGAAGTAGGCAAGGCTCTCAAAAGATTTGGCTGCATTTGTGGAGTTAAAAGGTCGAATGATGAGAGTTGTAGATCACGAGACTGCTCACTTTAGTGTCCTGAAATGGCCACAAAGTGGCCTATTGAAATCCTGGCCTTGAAGCTGAGAGTGATGGCAGTAGCTCCCACACAATGATTGGTGTAAACTTTGGATAAACCAGCTTCTGGTATATTAAAACAGGACAAAGATAAGGTCAGTTAATAAAATGTAAAATTTAAAAATACATGACAAAAATTATTCACTTTCTGCTTACCACCAATGGTTTTTGGACAACACAAGTCTGTTGAAGGTCTCACCTTAAAGCCGAGGAAAATCACATCTATGGAAAATAATATATTCTTGGTTTTCACCCACGTGACCCATACCTTGACAACGGTTGCTACGCCGCCATATTGGTGTCGTATAATTCAAACATTTCGCGTGTTATCAAAGCTTTAGAAATATTTTTCATCATGGTTCATTGTATTATGGTTGATTGTTTTCATAAGAGTGGAAAGACGAAAGGTATAGGGTTTTATAGGATTCCAGTAGTAGTCACTAACCAAGGAGAAAAAGCAGAAGAGCTAAGCAGAGAACGAAGAGAAAGATGGATCGCCGCCATTAGCCGCGACGACATCACTTCGAAGGATGTCCTCAGTAATGAAAGAGTCTGTGGACGACATTTCGTGTCATGGCAATCTGCAAAACTCTGGGATAAGTACAACGTCGACTGGGTTCCTACTTTGAATCTCGGGAAGACAAAATATCAACAGGAAAACCACGACATTAAAGAGGCAAGAGCTAAACGAGCGAAGGAACGCCGCAAAAGATCACTCGAGCGTCAAGAACGCGAGGCAGCTGAGAAACGAAAGAAAATCGATGTCAGTGGCCTTCCCGTCCGTGATGTGGATTTCAGTGATCCTAAAGAAGGATCTTCCAAGGAAATTGATTCTTCTGAGGATATTTTTGATCACGATTGCACATTTCAAGACCACACTTGCTCAACTCTCGTTGACAGTTCAACTCAAACCCAAGTTGATGTATCTGAAGCTATGACTCAAACCGAAGAGTTTGAATACCTTTTCAAAGAATCATATAAGCCAATTGATCGAGATTTTTTTGATTCTGATGAAAAAGTTCGCTTTTATTCTGGACTGCCTTTAATGGATATTTTAATGACTGTCCTTGACTTTGTGTCACCCCACATCAAACGAAGAACCCAAAAACTTAACCTTTTCCAGGAAATGATTATCGTGTTGATGAAACTGAGACTGAATATGCCTTATCAAGACTTAGCCTATCGTTTTCAAGTATCTGTGACAACAATATCAAGAATATTTGCATCATGGTTACCAGTGATGGATCAGCATTTGTCCCCACTTATTTACTGGCCTGAAAGACACCAGCTATGGAAGACAATGCCTCTTTGTTTCCAACAAGCCTTTGGAACCAAAGTCACTGTTGTTATTGACTGTTTTGAGATTTTTATTGATAAGCCTACAAACTCGAGCTCAGACATTTTCATCCTACAAGCATCACAATACTATCAAAGTACTGATTGGTATTTCTCCCCAAGGAGCTATTTCCTTTGTGTCAGAGGCATGGGGAGGACGTACCTCTGATAAGTTCTTGACAGAAAACTGTGGCATTCTTGAAAAACTTTTGCCAGGTGACATGGTTATGGCAGACCAGGGTTTCACAATCACAGAAAGTGTTGCTCTCAAACAGGCAAGACTCGTGATACCAGCCTACACGAAAGGGAGGGAACAGCTGGATCCTATTGATGTGGAAAAAACAAGAGCTCTAGCAAGTGTACGGATACATGTTGAGAGGGTGATTGGTTTGCTGCGTCGCAAGTATACTATTCTTCAAAGCACTCTTCCCACTGATTTCTTGAACAATGACAATGGACAGGATGAAGTACCAATTATTGACAGAATTATTAAAGTATGTTCAGCTCTTGTAAACCTGTGTCCACCCATTGTACCATTTGATTAGCTCCATACTTCATACAGTACTATTATAGTCATATATTGTAGCTAATGAAATGATATGATGGGGTGGAGAATCTGTGTATAATTTAAGAAATATTATAACCCTATGAAAAGAGAGCAAGTGACTGGGAATGAGCACTGTGTAACATTAATAATTTAAAAAAATATACTTCCATTACAAGAAGGATCGACAACAATGACAACATTTTATTTGTGCTGTGTATATATATATTTACAAAAATTATATGAATTAAAATATAAATTATGTTTGCAGGGGGCAGTAAGGACTGTTTATTGAGCACAGCTGCTTAAAATAGCTTGAGTTCATTCTTCTTGGATTTTTTTTTTTAATGACTGCTACTCTTGAGATTAGCATGAAACAACAAAACAAAATTGTTTAGTGTAAAATGTATTCAAAAACGTGGAAAAACTTTGATTTCACCAGCTCTCAAACATTCAATTAAATGTGGTCTCATTCTTGGGATGTCAAACATAAAATCTGAAGGGTTGAGTTCAAACACAAGGCATGTTGCAAATGCTACAGCAAAAACGCCACAGTCACTGCCATTCATTTGTTGCTGCACTGGTACGACTTCAATGCCAACAAAGTTATCTGGTAGCAGATCTTTAACTTGCTGCTCAACTTCATCATCAATAATGTCATTGTACAGACTGTCGTACAAATTAACACATCCTGATGTGCAACCAATAGAACTAATGCACACCCAATGTGAATTACCCGTGTGTAAGATTTGAACAAAGTCACTGGTCATTATGTCAAAGTTCCTTACTCTTCCAAGAGTTGGTCTTTGAAAACCCTCAATGAGAGGATTTACTTTCTTGATGCATATTTGTGCTGCCTGTATTATTTTGCAATCCAACCAGCCATCAGGAGATGAGATTATGTCATAGTCATGCTCATCTAGATCTCCAAAAGATGCAATTCTGTTAGCTACACCTTTAGTCACACAGATTATTTCTAAGTCCTCATCACTTTCATATTCATCTCCAGTACAGTATTTATTTGACTCATTTTCATGTAGATCTTCAAAAGATTCAGAAGCTGTTCTGCTTTCAGTCACACAGGGTATTTCTATGTCCTCGTCACTTTCATATTCAGTTCCAGACACAACTGAAGCTGATGGATTATTGACAGTACATGTAGTACTGGTGGTATAAGAAGAACATGTGGTAGGGATAGTTAATGAAGACTTGTCTGCAGGTTTTTTCTTCACTTTGCAATTTTTGCAGACCCAATATAGCTTGCTGTTATTGGGCATCCTCTTGTAGTTTAGACATTTCAGATGGAAAAATTTCCCACTCTGACATTGACTATGACATTTCAGCAGCTTTTCCCCTACAACAGGTTTAGCTTTGCAAACACAAATGGACTGTAATTTCATTGCTTCATTGAAATCAGGGTTCTTTTGAAAATCAGGCTTGATCTTAGTAACTCTCTTGGCTTTCTTACATTCTGGAAGTAACTGGCAGCTTGGACAGTACCATACTTTGGGTAAGGGATCAGATATCCCTAAACATGAGAGGTGAAACTCAATGAATGGGCACTTGGGGTTTTGACAAGGCACTGTGCTTTCTTCTGGTTTGGGTTTTCTGCAGTAGCAAACAGGCTTTATATCACCTGCTCAGCATTACTTGCCTGCAATTTTATGCTTCCTGGTGTACCATCTTCCTAAGATTTCAGGTAGGATACAAGATCTCCACACTTTGGTGAGTTTTGGAAGAACTGATTCCCAGTGTGAAATGTCCTTGTAAATTCTCTCCAGGAAAAACCTTGTTTGATTGTTATTGTCAAAAGAGCACACAACAAAGTCACAATACTGAGAGTCTGATAAACAACTGTTGCTGTACTTGAAAAAGTACTGGTGATTTCTCTTGAGCTGTACCTTTCCATTGACCTTTTCAAGACATGAATTCTTCTTTTCCACATAACTTTCAAGGTCACAGTTTTCAATGTTGTAAGGGCATTTGACTTCTCCACAACCATTCCCACAGCATGAACATGATACCAAAAAATCTGGAGTAGTATTTATCCAGGGGTGCTGTTTATCCACTATCATACCACATTGTTCAACTTTCAGATCTCTGTGAGTCTCTAGCATAGTCTTGGTATAAGCATTCACTGCAGCACTCTCGTTCTTATGGCCATGACTGATTGCTTTAGTAGTAACTTTGAACAGATCAGGATATGAGATGGACTTGATTAAGGATTGTGATAGCATAGCTGGGTTAGTATGAGCTACTGCCCAATTCAGAGATGTACCAATGCGCCCAGCTCTGTGCCTGAAAAATGCATTTCCTTTAGCCTGTTCCCTGGTGTCTTGCTCAATTAATTCTACCTGTGATTCTGAAATAGTCTGATCAATATTTTCACACTTTTCTAGGAGTTCTGGATATGACAAGTCAAAATTACATGGATCAAAAAGGTCAGAAATGGTTGGGATACTTCTACTTTTCATGATAAACTGTTCAGAATAGGGTTCAATCAAGCTTAAGGCAACAGGTTTGAACTTGCACTCATTTAGTTTGGCAAGCAAATGTTTTAAGCTCAGTTCCTCCAGATGTAACCTGTTCTGTCGAGACCTTAGCTCTCTTTGTAGTGCCAGGTGCTAATAAGGAAGGTGGAGAGTTTACTGATAGTCCCTCAATACAGGCATCTTAGTTATCTTTCAACTTTTTCGCCGACTTGAAGTTGATATCTTCGACCCTAGCATAAGGAACCTCGCTCACATATGTCGGTAACAAACACGTGCACTTTACTTGCGTACATGCCAGCGTCATTAATTCTCGTTGAAGCTTCGATATGAAATAAAATACTTGCAATATGTGAACAAGTCTCAGCTAGTCCAGCTTTACAACCAAGGCAGTGGGCTGACAACACGGTTCCCTCCTTATTAGTAATAATCCAAACTGCAAATGGTCGCTCATTCATTCGTTGAGAATGTCTCACCTTTCCGATCACCACGAATTTTTCACCTATGACTTTGCCTTCAACACTGGAAATAAAACCCGAAACCATCTGATTGTAGGCCTCCAAGCTTTTGAAAGCTTTGAACTGTTTCTTTGTATAATTACTCGTATCGATAACTAAATAGCACAGAAGATCTGTAGCTTCTATGGGTGGTAAACATTGTGGATCTAACTTTGCGTCGATCAATGTAGCGGGATCGATCCCCACGAGTGATATTTTTTCTAAATACCTTTGTTTAACATGTGGCTCTAGTCTTTTAACATAGTCGCTTAAAGGTATATTGCAAATATCTTCCTTTTTTTCTTCCTTTTTGATGTTTTCAGAAATTTTGTCCAAATCACGCGACATACTTTTAAAGAATCATGCACCAAAACACTGCATTCTGACATATGCTAATAAGTTTTTGCGACACCAATATGGCGGACGCCTAATTTGCATATACTGTGACGTCACGTGAAAACCAAGTTGAGTTGTAAACGAGCAGGCATACATAACATACGCATTGTCACTCCCGTCCCCAAATCACGTGACATGACCCAGCTTAAGCCAGATTCAACTTTGTAGTTCTACACGCGATCTTCTCAAAGCTGCCTGTCGCATAACCTCGCTTTGAACAGGTGATTTAGCCTTTTTACTATTGTCTTAGTATGGAGAAGATTTTGACAGAGGAAGACCTGCCGATTAACGCTAGGTCATTTGTAAAGTAGGTTTAACAAAGGTTCTAGAAAGGTGTTATTTTATGCGTTCGCAAAAACATCAAATATGCAAAAATGGCGCCTACGTGGCAGATTTTTAATATTTTTAATTCGGATTTTTCGTTTGTTTCCGATCATTTTAGACCTTCTGGAACACAAAATGAAAAGTAAAACTGCTATAGAATAATCTGTTCGGGAAATGATAGATATCGAGGTCTTAAAAGCGACAAAGTAAGCTTTCACGTGGACAACACTACGGTTCGCTGAAGCGAGGCGAATTGGGGCTGTAAATTGAAAACCGAACTTTCGGATTTCAAGTGAGGTCTAGCGGCATTATGAAGATTCCAGGGCCCGGTAAATATCATGTTTGAGTAATGAGATCTCCAAAAAGTATTGATAAGTTGAAGATTTTGTGTCAAAACGTAGAATTCTCAGAATTTTCAACATAACGCTGCGCAATTTTCTAGCCGTGAAGTCAAGTAAACAACGATCTAAGCCTTATGAATTTTACTTCGTGGGTTTTGTACACGTAAGAAATTCGCACGTTTTTCGCTTCTAACAGAAAACCAAGAACTGTTTTGAGTGAAGCTTTCTTCCCGAAACGTTCCTTGGTCAGTTTCCTCTTGCTTATTATTTATAGATAATGTAAATGTAAAATAAGATCCCTTCCCAAACTGACAACTTTGCATATTCACTTTGATATCCGATCCGCATACTGGTTTGCACGCGTGCGAAAAAATATACTGATTTTTATCTTTTATATTGATTTTGAAGTAAAAACTTAATATGCATCTATGGCTTTTTTCGTTGAAAGTAAGAGACCCTCTTAAAACTATGAATGTAAGAATATCTTCAACATATACAATTAAAATCACTGCTTTCCTTTCAATAAATGTGGCTTTGCTTTGTTTGCTTGAAATTTTATTTTTGAACAGTTGTTGAGCTTGTTATCCAAACTGCAAAAGTTGCTTCTGGCTCAGGTCATGAGGGAACATAAAATGGTAGTCTGGTCTGACTTGTAGATTACAAGTGTAAAATTTTTATTAAATCAACTCCAGTATAGAGAAGATGTCAGGGGGAAAAAACCTCAATAGTCTCGGAATTCCTCTGAGTGACTCTGATGATGAAGAAGAGATTGAAGGTAAGAATATTTATGAGTATATAAATCAGTGTACCTTCTCGGCAGAATGAAATTTGTTTTATCAATTACTTTGTTGATGTTTGAACAGATATTTTGGCAGCCTATGACAAATATGTACCCTTGGTCAACTCTACCCTACTAGCCATTACTAACCCATACAAAATTCACTGGAAATGATC